AATATTTCTCAAGGGTTGGAGAAGAAGGCACTGATCAGTGGTGGATCAACTTGCTCTAAAACTGACCTGCTCTGCTGAAAGATTGTGTTCTAGCCTTTCCCTAAATTTGTAGTATAAATGCCTAGAGTAAAGCTTACTGCCTGTCCTTGGCAGACCAACGGGAATAGAATTTGTAGGGTCATCCCTCCTACCTTTTTTAAACAATGACTGCTATTTCCCAATCTTTTGGGACTGGACGTGTTTACAAATGTCAGTGTAAGTGAACAGCAAGGACAAATTGGAGTGCACCTTGCTGAGTTTTTTATCTGCCTGAAATGGGATTAGACCATATTTCAGGAGCCTTCCAAAGTCTTAACAGAAAAATCAAATTCTTAACCTGTGATGACATTATTGGTGGCCAGTCAGGTAAGCTGTCTAAATCCTGACAGGGATGTTCATAAGTCAGTACCTCCTCCTTGTAGAGTTGACTGAAATGTCTTTCCCAGGTTTCTGGTAAAATATAGCAATACAGCTGTCTAACTGTTATCCATAACTCAGGTTTTCTATAGTCAGGGGCTAAAATAAGGCTGAGAGTTTTGTTCTAACTGCCTGAAAAAGTTGTGCCCAATTGTCTCTCATAATATCTCTTTCCTGGCACTGAAGCAATTTCTTATGTAACCTTTTTTTTTTTTTTTTTTTACTTAAAAGGATCCTGAGTAGATATTATTCTTGTGTTCATTCCATGTGCGTTATAGCTACGGTGACCATATTTTCTTGGAAAAAATAAAGGACAAACCTGAAAAAGGGGCAAATCTGAAAGAGGTTCATAAAGATAAAAATTTTTAATTATTTATGTTTGTAACTTTGCTTTACAAAGGAAAATCCAAGAGCAAAACCAAGAAAAACTTTACAAAAATGCATACTCTAATAAAAATATCTAAAATCAATATCCATACTATTAGTATAGGTAAATTTATTTTAAAAAGACAATTCAATTTCCATATTTTTCACATGAATGTGAAAGACTGTGCATTAAGTGGTACCGTTTGTACGTTAAAAGTTAAAAGACCAAAATAAAGGACAAAAGTGAGTTTTTGAACAATAAATACATCTAAAGGACAGCTTTCTGAAATAAAGGACTGCCCTTTATAATAAAAGACCTGTGGTCACTGTAATCATAGCTGACAAAAAGCTTTTTTTTTTTTTTTTTTGCTTTTCTGTTTTTGCTTCAGCACATTCAGAGTTGAACCCACCATTTAGAGTAATACTGATGCTAATTTGGACAAGCAATGTTAGGCTGAATAGGTTAACTGTTTTTGTAATTCTTGCGCTGTCTTGCCACATATGGAAATAGGAAGTTCTGCTGAAAGCAAAGAAAAATATGAAGTGGTGGAAGTGTCACGTAGTAATAAATTCCCAATTACTTTGTCCACGTGGAGGGACAACAGTCTCTTCCTGCTAGAAAAAAATTAAGATCTCAGCATTAACATGAGTCACAGGATTCAGACTTTCTAGTTTTTAAAGGGATCACTGAGGAAAACAGTGATCTGTATTTCCTTTGTCTTAAACTCTGCATATCCCTATTGTCACTCCCTACAGAGCTGTACCCCTTTTCTACAGAGTTCAATCTGTCTTTTATCTTTTTCGTTTCCATTTTCTATTTCTACTCCATCAAAGTCTTTACTATTCCTTCACCTTTTCTACTTGCTTATTTCTGGCTAGGCTTCTTTACTTTTTACTCCTGGGCTTTTTGGCTTCTGTTTATTCTGGTTAAACAATCTCTGCTTATTCTGCCTGTTCATCCCAGGGCCTGTGGCTATCAAGCTCCAACGTAGAAATCTTGTTTTCTCCCCTCCCCTCCCCCCACCCCACTGCCTGCCCAGGTCTGCTGTTTGATTGGCATCCGGGCTGTCCTGATAGTAGGGGAGGGGCTGGGAAGGGATGAGCACGGGCAGCCTGTCCCTCCTCAATCAGTCAATGATTTTGTTACTTTTATTGGCCAAAGTCCTTTTTTTTTTTTTTAGCATAACTAAAGTCAAATGATCAAGAATGATAAACTCTCAAAGTATTTCTGTGATGTTGCCCCTCATGTGATATAGTACCTTTCCTGGCTATAACTACAGGATCAGTGTGGTGCATCTCTAAGTCGTTTATATCCAGAAAGTTTAAATCCAGATGTTACGTGTGTCAGCTGTAACTCAAACAGAGCTTGGGTTGATTGCTGGACTTGTGGCTGCAGCAGTGCTTCAGTAGGCACACTGGTAACCTGCAGCTCTTGTGCTCATTCTCACCTTGTTTAGAATTGTCGGTTCAGGCTTCAGTGTCCTATGCATGCAGACCTCTATTCTGATTCTGCCTTCTCCAAGGAGTCCCCTGGTGCCTCCAGTGCCTTGCTACCATTCCTCCTGCCCTTTCATAGGACCTGAGTTTGCTGTACAACCAGCCAAATTATATGAGAAATGGAGTCTGATCACATCACCGGATCTTTACTGTGGGTTTTCCCATCCCTTAATTATGCTGCTGAATCAGAATCATTATCTTGTGGGCGGTTGTAGGCATGTATTGATTGCGTTGATGTCTGTCAACACTAGTGACTGTCTATCTCCTGGATGAATCTGAATACTCAGTATTTTCTGTTCTATTTCCTGTTCCGTGCCTAACTGCCCTATGTACTAGATTGCACTAGGCTATTACATGTTCTTTTTTCTTGATAGGAGACCATAATCCACATGCTGAATCACAGCTTTAATAATCATTGAATGTTGTCACTTGTTTATTCCTTTTGTTGTTGGTACAAAATCTTTGGAATGATTTTGTTGAGGTTACAACTTCTTAGTGCCTCTAATCCGTGAAGAATTTTGTTCTTGTTGTTCAAAGTGGGGAAGAGTTTTCAAAGACTAGATCAGAGCTTTTTCATTATCTATTTCTTCTGCTTCTTCCTATCCCTGCCCTTTTCTGCTCATTGTACTTATATGACCTTGAGGGTGACTCTAGCCAACATCTTATCTCAAGCTGATTAACAGGATTACAGACATATCACTTCCTGTTCCACGTGTCGCCTTCACTGCTTTTGTGCTTCAGTAAAAGAAGGATATAGTCATCCGTCAATCTCCTCAGGAAACCCTTTATTCAGACAAGCTTCAATGGTAGAGCAGGACATTTAAAAGTTAATACAATTCTCTAATAGACACTATGATTGGGAAGCCAAGACATTTCTCTCAAGTTACTATGGTAAATTTGGCAGCACAGAAACTGGGCAAGAGCATGCAGGTAATCCTCACTTAAGAACCATAATTGGGTCCAGCAACTCCATCACAAAGCGACATTGTCATTAAGTAAGAAGTCACATGACCATGACGGACTTACGACCTCACTTCCACACAGTTGTTACGCGAATCACCTGTGGTCATTAAGACAGACATCCTGTGACCGCAACTTGTGACTTCCTGCTGGCTTCTCCATTGATTCTGCTTGTTGGAAGCTGCCTATGAAGAGCACAAATGGTGTTCACATGACTGCAGGACGCTGCAACAGTCATAAGCGTGAGGGCCGGTTGTAAAGTTACTTTTTCAGTGCTGTCCTAACTTTGAAGAGTCACTAAACAGGGCAGTTGTTAAACGAGGTCTACCTGTATGTTAATGGACATCTATTTTGCCATTTGCCCTTATTTATTTGAATCTTGGCAACCTGTAGTACCATACTGTTCAACTGCAGCACACAAGAGTTACCACTTTATTCTGATATTTGCATACTCATTTCAGGAATATGAATTGCTATCTTTGAGTAACAGAAGAGACATGGAAGGATAATCCTTTTCATTCTTTATTGCTATCTTTTTTTATTCCCAACCCTCTTTACAGCTAGGTTTCCCCAGCCCAGATCTTTTCATTATATTTGTTATCATTCTCATTCTCCTTTAATTTATCCCCTACTGTGTCTTCCACAAGCTCATCTATTTTGTTACTAGTGTTTATGGGTTGCTCAAAAATTGAGATAACAATATTAGTAAATAGGGTTTAGCCACAAGATCTGAGCCCAGCTAAGGGTTATCATTCTCCTCTGCCGTTCTTCATTCTTCAGGCATGATGGCTCTTCACTATCTCAGCCCAATACTGCAAATTGTTGAAGGATAAGAAAATTGCAACTCACTTGTCAGTCTTAATGCAACAGCCGTTCCTCTTTTCTGAGTTGTTCAGAACATCTGGCTCTGAAGTCTTCCTGCGCTGCAGATCTTCTTTGACCTGTTTTTGCTTTTGGTCTTAACTTTGTTGCCATTCTTGATGTGGTCATTACTTGCATTTCCCATCTTCATTTCAGTACGCTGCTTCTCTCCCAGGTTTTGCAGTAATAAAAGTAAATAGATGCTATCTATTTCACCAGAAAAAAAGCATTAAAATCCGGCAGATAAGTCAAGTGTGGCAGGAACTCTACTGTATTTTAACTACTATAGTTACTGTGTTTTAACAGTGCACAGACTTGAATTGCTTCCTCTTCAGATTCTGAATTCCTTGTTCAAGACTCAGTATTCTTGACAGGCTCACAAATTTGAAATGGCTAGAATCCTTTCTGAACTAAAGACTAGATTAAAACCATATGCAATAGAAGATCTACCAACTGCAATTCACAACATTCAAAGCATGCATGTATATGTGATGGTGATGATGGTGATGATGATGATGATGATGGTGATATCAACCTGCTGCAGGTTGAAGGCCTCTTCATTGAAGGCTATGGATAGTAATCTATCACACTTGTTCAGTGTAGATTGGTAGACAGATGTTTTTTGACTTCCCAGACTAGGCCTGAGAGCTAGTGACTGGCCCAAAGTCACCCAGGTGATTTACATGCCTAAGGAAGGACTAAAACCTTGGTCTCCCCATTCCTCTTAAGCTTTATCTTCATATCCTAGCGAATCAATGGATATTTGGTTGCTCTGTTCAAGGTTATGGTAGGAGCTGCAGGTGAAATATACTGATATCTCAAGTCTGGGAGCTGCTGGTTCTTCTCTCACCATTCCTAACCACTAAAAAGAGGAAATGCATTACAAGAAAAGATAACAAAAGTGAGCAAAGAATTGCTGCTATTATTATTATTGCCTATTCATCCAATGGATATCACAATCTTTCAACTGGGTATTTTCCAGTGATTTGGGTTCTAACCAAGAGCCTAGGAATCATGGAGGAACAACAACAACAATAGTAATTTGAACTTATACATATGATGCACATTTAGAAATAATAACTGTAACTGAACGGTACCTATAACAACATCTAACCATAATGAGAAAGAAGAAAATGTGACCTGTGTGCCTACTTAATCTGCTGTGCAAATGCTATTGGTGTATGGATACACTGGTTCCACCTGTCCACTCAGAAAGCTTTAACCAGCTTTGATTGGATACCCCTTCAGATAAAGGGTGCATGCTAATAAAGGGCTATAAAATAAAATGCATGGCCATCTAGTCATATGCAGCCAGGGAACTAACAGGTAACAGAGTAAAACATTGTAGGGTTGTGAGAAGGGGAGTAGACATAGGCTGAATGGAGGGAAGGCATTGCATTCCTGGCTTTATAGGGCTGGGAGATGGCGGCCATCGTCACAACTACTTCCTTATTCTGGATCTTTTCTTCTGCACAGGGAGTGTGTGGAATGCAAGAAGTTTGAGAGGGGAATCCTGATAGAGCAAGACACCTGCAACCGCAACTGCCGAGATGAGATTGAGTTGGTACAGGAGCTTGGTATGTAAGAAATATGGCGTTTTCTGCAAGAATTGTCCTTCTTGTTTTCTTCTATCTTCCCCTCCTCTTCTTCTTCCTCCTTTTTCTGACTCAGAAACTTTCCAGCTGATACAGTTGCTAAGGTAAGGGAAGGCACTCTTACCATTGAGAATATTTAGATCTCCAGTGACAAAGCCAAGTCTAAGCTGTGAATACTGCCTGCTTGGGATAACACAGTGTTGAACGCAGATTCAGTACCGTTGACCTGAACAGATAAACCGTGCACATGCAGGACAGCATGTCTTATCAGGGTTATACTTCAGTCTAAGTCTAATTCCATTTCCAAATCACAGGGTATCAGTCTTCGCTCCTTGCAATCTGGACTGGAAACAGCTAATCTCAGAGCATTTATCATTATGGAAAATTAAGGTTTTAACACAAGAATTCCAGCAAGAACTCTTCTTTCAAATGAGACACCTATAAATAGACAAACTATGGCAGCAGAGCTCTGTTTGTTTCCCTATGGTTTTTAAAAACGTAATAAGGAAGGAGGCATGGCTTTTTCATGAAGGAGGGACAGCTTGCATGGGTACCTTGTTTTTGGTAACTACTATTTCTTTTATTAATATTAGAAACAGCTCTCACTGGACAGCTCTTCTTACCTTGTTTATAATTAAGGAAAAATAGAGCTTGGTGATGTCAGCATACTTAGGACATTTCACATCAAATCCCCATATAGATGTTAAAAAGCATCAGGAATAAAAAAGATTTGTAATGATCTTATAGCTTCTTATCTTCTGGCCTTATAGCTAATATAAGAGTCATTATTCCATCAACTCCCACCTCCCAGAACCTATCCAGAAAGATAACGTAGTACGTAATATCAGAGATCACTGAAAAACCCAGGACACTCAACAGGATTAATTAAAAAAAAATATTATAAAGCTGTCTCTGTGATAATTTGTGACTCTGGGTAGCATACAAAATATTAAAAAAAACACACACACACAATGAAAACCCACCCAAACCAACCCAATCAGAAACATAAGCAACACCTAATTGAGGCTAACTATAAAAATATGCACACACATCACAGAAGGGGTTCATCTACCATCCTGGCCCAAAGGCACAGGAGAGCCAGGTCTTTACAGAAGCTCTACAGAAGGCCAACAGAGTTGGGACTATCAGAACCTTGGGGGAAGCTCATTCCAAAGATCCGGTGCAGCAACAGAGAAGGCATGCCTCCTAGGTCTCATCAGGTGGCACTGTTTCAGAGAGGGAGCCTGGAGCATGCCCACCCTGTGCAACCTCATGAGATGTGCAGAGTTGACTTGGGAGAGGTGGTTTGACAATTTATTTGATGGATTGATTGATTGATTGATTGATTGGCTGCCTGATTCCTAAAGCAACTTTATCTGACAGATGCCTAGAACAGTCCTCACAGTGGCTTTGCAGGTGCTCCCTAGGCCCTCCCTAACCAGGAACAAGTGGATCACCTTAAATAAGGTTATCAGCCAGTAATATGTGGACATAATAAGAGTAAAGAAATACACAAATGAGTAAATGTAATGGTATGTGGGAATGACCTTGGGAGATGGGAGGAAAATATGCTGCTTAGGGAATGATCACATAAGAGGGGAGGTAGCCCGCAGCTGTGTAAGAAAGAAACTCAGAAAGGAACCTCCCTAACTTATCAGGCTGTAAAAGAGACGGCAGGAGATTTGTACTTTCAGATTTGCAAGGATCTGTTAACATAGCCTTACAATAAAGTAGAATTAGCTCATCTGGTTGTGTTTCCTGTCTGGTCTACCTGGGAAGGCTAACATCATCCCAAAACCGCCATTCTTGCTCATTCCAACAAGCAAGTAAGGCCTCAGACAAACCATGCACCAGGA